TCTAGTTGATAGCCTGCTTCTGTTTTTTTCAGAAACGCTTACTATAGATCACGCAATTAGAAGATGAACATGAAATGCCCCCTCCTGGAAGCATTCAAGGCCAGGCTGGATGGGACTTCGAGCAACCTCGTCTAGAGGGAGGTGCCCCTGCCTAGAGGAGGGGGGTTTAAACTAGGTGATTTTAAAAGTCTCTTTCAACCCAAACCATTCTGTGATTCGATAAGATGCCCAAAGACAAACTCCATGGCTACCACAAATTATTAAGATAATAAAGTGAATGGTCAGAAGCAGACTATTTCTTCGTAGTAAAAATAGTTATTCCACTTACAAAGACCCAGAAGTTATTATTTGAACAATATCTTCCACTATAGTGTCGCAATATGCTTAAGCAGTCACCAAATCCCAAAATATCGTGAGTTGGAAGGAACCACAAGAATCATCAAGTCCAACTCCTGGCTCCACACAAAACTAACCAAAATTCAAACTCTATTCTGAGTATTGTTCAAACACTTCTTGAACTCCAGCAGGCTTGGGGCCAAGACCACTGCCCTGGGGAGACTGTTCCAGTGCCCCGCCACCCTCTGGTGAAGAACCTTTTCCTTATGCCCTGATGCAGCTCCATGCCATTCCCTCAGGCCCTGCTGCTGTCCCTGCAAGGAGCCGCAGCTGCCATGAGGCCTCTCTTCAGCCTCCTTTGCTCTGGGCTGAACAAACCAAGCCCGTCCTCATCCACCTTTCCCTGTAGAGCCTTCACCATCTTTGTAGCCCTCCCTTAGGTGTTCTCTAGTACATTTCTGTCCTCATATTGTAGTGCCCAAAACACAGTGCCCAAGGTGAGGTGCAGAGCAGAGTGGGAGAGCCCCTTCCCTTGCCTGGTGGCCATGCTGGGCTGGTGCACCCCAGGGTACGGTTAGACCTTTGGACTGCCAGGGCACACTGTTCACAGATTAAACTTATCAACCACAACCCCTACATGCTTTTCTGTGAGGCTGATCTCCAGTTTTTCTTCCCCCAGTCTATATATATATCCAGGGTTTTCCTTTCCCAGATACAAAATGCAGCACTTGCTTTTTGGAGCATCATATGGTTGGTGGTTGCCCAGTCCTTCAATTTGTCAAGATCTCTTTGCAAGGACTCTTTATGCTCAAGGGACTCAGCAGTTCCTTCCAATTTAATGCTGTCCACAAACGTACTTTGTATATCTTCAAGTCCTGTATCCAAGACATTGATGAAAACACTGAAGAGAACCAGCCCTAAAATGGAGTCCTGCAGAACCTTACTAGTGAATGGCTGCCAGTCTGATGTAACCCCAACTCATCACTACTTGTTCACCCAGAAGACAATCACACACCTTCCAAAAGAATTACCATTAGCAATGACCAGCGTGGTACTAATAATACAACAAGTCTGTGTTTTAACCAGTGATGTTCTAGGATGCTTAGGCCCATTAGCCTGTTTTCTACAAAGGCTCTACATGTTTGTTCATCTGTTCGTATCTACTCTGAACCTAGTTGCAAATAATATTGTGGTGAATCAGCTTGATGTAAACTATCATTACAAAGACCATCTGCTACAGCACATTGTAAGTTCTTTCTGTTCAAAGACCTCACAAGCACTAGCTGAATGAGGTCATTTAGCAAGATTCAGTAAGGGCTAACATCTAGTGTAAAAATATTATTGGTCAAAATCACACTAGACATACAGTATCCTGTAAGAATGGCCCCAGAAGTCAGTTAGAGTCAGGACTAATCAGTAAAGTGCAATGCTGATTAAGCAATTTATAGCTGGGTAGTCAGTAGAATATCTATTCTATGAATGACACAAACATTGGTATAAAAATATTGAATGCAATGAAACCATTAGCTCATCACATCCAAGAAGAAACACTGCGGCATAATTCTGAGGTTTGATATTTTTGTTGCTTGCCATGACAAATTAAAATGCACCACAGACATCTACTGACAAGCACAACAGGTTATAGGACTGCCAGAAATACAAATAGAAGTCAGTAGTCAGCTCCCAATACTGCACTTCCAATGACTCTTTTATGCAAAGTGCCACTTGGAATTTAGTCAAGGATGCATTTTTTCCTCTTCAGTATTTGTTCATTAATATGTATAATAAGCCCTATCATTTCTGTTACAAACTTTGCAATACACTGAGTTGTTCACCATAGCTATTTGAATAATATGAGGTATGATTTTATCGTATAAAAGAATTTAAATGAGTATCATTAACATCACTGATGCTAAACAGCTGTGAAGAACTTCTCCAAACCAAGGGATGGAGTATAAGGAATAGAACAAGTGTCAATTTTTGTGTCTGTTTTTTACTTCCTTGTTTTCAACGTTTTGTATTTTGACACACTGGAGTTGAGTCAAGAATTGAGGGTTTTTTCATAATTCATTTCACCTCCTAAATGTAGGTGACTGAAACGCTGTTATCCAAATTAGTCTGCAATTCACTACTAGTAAGTTTACACCACAGATAAATTTGCTGCTTATTCAATCTAGCACACTCCCAAATAAGTGTATATACTCCTGATAAAAATATGAGTAGTATTATGACACATGTATGGGTCTGTATTCTTCTTCATTAAATGGCTTACAAACTCAATCTAAGCATATTTTAATCTGGTAAACTCAACTAAATTATTTCTTTTTGAAAGATTTCAAGAAAGAAATCAAATGAAAATAGTGTTTGAATTCAAGCAGCTTACACACACTCAGGAACATATTCATCAGGCTTCAACATTAAGCAACATATTTGCTCTCCATGAAAACATGAAATATAAAGAAAATAATATATTTTTTCAAAATTTCACAAGCTGAAATAATCTTTAACATACCATTATTTTTCCTTTTGTGCTCTTGTGAAGAATAACAATGCATAGTGTACTGGCTGTGAAGAATTACCTGTATCTGAAATGTTTCTCTGTGTGTATATTTTACTTGTAAAAACATCAAAGGAATGACTCAGTAAATGAGATAATACAATCACATTGTCCTATTTTTTATAATCAAACTTCTTTTGCTAATTTATTCATCCTTAATAGACATAGTCAGTAATTCTGCAATAAAGACTACCTGCTGTCTAAACTAGTCTGCCATTCGCTGTTTTTAGAAACAATAGTATGAAATACAAGAAAACAAAAATTAAAATACCACTTTTGCTTTTACAGTGATAGCCTATAAGACAGAAGTACAGAATTGGAAGTGACCTCTGGAGATCATGAAGTCCAACTCCCGGCTAAAGTAGGTTGCAGAAGAAAGTGTTCAGGTGGGTTTTTGCTATATCCAGAGAAAGAGACTCCACAACCTCTCTGTGCAGCCTGTTTCAGTGCTGTGTAATACCAATGTAAAAAAACTTTTTTCTCATTTTCACAGCAAACTTCCACTTCTTCAGTGTGGATTCATTGCCTCTTGTAGCTGGACATAACTGAAAAGAGGCTAGCTCCATCCACTTGACATCCACCCTTTAGATATTTATAAGCGCTGATAACACCCCCTCTATGTATTCTCCTCCCCAGACCCTAAGGATATCTATAAATTGTTAAGATTAATTTTAAAGATTGTTTAAAGTCTGTAACAGGTATCATCTATGGCATAGACACAAGCATGAGTCTAAGCACCTGTAGAAACATGACTTAACTGTGGCATACCTACTTATTTTTCTCTCCTCCATCAAACAATTGCAAAGTTCTTTTACAGGACGTTTTCCTGGGCAGCTGGCTAGATATAATACATGCCTTTAAAAATACACTCAAATATATAAACTACTTTTTTTTTTTTTTTTTTTTTTTTTTTTTTTTTTTTTTTTCTTTTTTTCCAGCAGAAGAAATGTAAATATTAAGTGCATTAAAAATACGGCTGTGCTTTTCTGGGAATTTTTTTAGTAACCTACTGCAAAAATTACTGCAATTGTATTGGAGGTAGAAATGAAAAAAATGAATTGCTATGCTTTTTCTTCCTCCCCTCCACATCCTCCCAGTCCTAACTAAATAGTTGCTAGTTAATACTAATTAATTAAAAAATGAACGTATTTTTTGTGTATACAACAGTACTGGCTGTTACCTAACTGAGTTACCTATAAAGTTTATGGCTGTTTTGCATGTTGTATGGGAACTGCTGAATCATGGCCTGAACCTCTGGTCAACCACCTGGGGCGAGTGGTGAGGCAGCTCAGGGCATGGCTAGGAGGGGGTGGCCCGGGATGATGCGGGGCCAGCCGCAGTAGGCAGTTCGCCTGTGCTGCTGGAGGGGGTGGGGCCTGGCTCTGCCTCTCCTGGATCCTTTTTGGGAGCTGACTGGCAGTGGGGGGAATCTCTTCTGGAGATTCATTCCACTGGAGTTTCTCACGTGAGCCCAGGATAAGGGTGAGTGTCCTTCTTTCTTGCTCCAGTATAATAACTACATAGCCAAGCTAGTGGATATACTACAACATCTGTATATTCATTAATTGTACACGTCATCACAGAAATCTCAGCCTTAGCTTCTTGGGCACCAGCAGCCAAAGCTCATGAAAGCTGAATTGTAAGTGTTGTAAGAAATATCAACAATTCAGCATCAGTTGTAGAGTGCTATAATTATTATTTTCTTGTGCTGATACTGTGATAGTTCTTATATACTAGTCTATATTTTAAACTATTTGTACTTGCCATATAAACAAGTTAAAAATCAGTTCTGAAATGCAAAAACACTGCAAAAAAAAAAAAATTGAATTTTTACAGTAAAGTAAGTACTGCCTGCGGAAAAACTACTGGACAAAAACACATACGTGAAAACACATTCTAATGTGCAAGAAACATATAAACAATTTTCATTATTACAATTATTATTTTTATTATCAAAGTACTGAAAGGGTAGAGTAGTTAGTTTCTTCTCAGACCAGGTAACTGTGAATTCCCCATAACACTAAGGTAAATGTTTGCCATTTGAGCATCCTCTTACACAAGGTAAAATGGGAATCTTAAATAATATCAAAATCACGCTGTCTCTTACCAGAAAAGACACTGGGGATCTTGGAAAGAAAACTTTTGACTGTACGAATAGGAATCCCATTTTTCTCATCTTGCATGCGAGCTATGACGTCTTCCATCTGAACACAGATAAAAAAAAAAAAAGAAAGAATAAAGAAAGTCAGAATTATTCCTATAAGAACTTCAACAATAAATTCTAAGTCAATTTCTCAAATTAGAGGTCCATTCTTTCTATTTTTTTTAATTTACAGTTTTTATTTTAGATTTTTTTTGAGCAAGATAAAATATTGGAAGTACTTTACCACAGTCAACAATAACTTAATGTATGGGCTCAAAGTCTTTAGAGAAGGAAATATCAGAATAGAAAAGGCGTAAAGTGGATAAAAATGGTTAAATACTATTGCTGGATGCAAAATTTAATGTTTGATGGTATTACTGGTATTGTATTGAATACGAAAGTATAATACATTCATTCACGCTTCCACGGTCCTGACACAGTTGTCAAAGGCTGTTCAAAACAAAAAAAAAAAGCCTTTAAGTTCAAAGCAAAAAATCCCTCTTTTCTTTTGAGAAGTGGAAAAAACTATGACACAATGGAATTTTGCATCCCTGGAAACAGCGGGGCCAGAAACAGAATTTTTTTTAATAGCTAATGAAGTGGATATAAAAACATTTAAAATGATTTTGCTGTATTTTTCTCATATTTTCCTCATTAACTCAATCGTACAGTATATTTTTGTCCATATATTTTATAATTCAAGCTCAACCCAAAGGTTCATTTTCATTTCAAGTACAAACACTTTTGTTGGAAAATACAAAGACTGTTTAGATGGAATCATTGGCTGACAATGCAATTTTTTATTTTTTGCAAATTTCATAGTGGATTATTATCTTAATGACATAACTTTCACCTTTCTTCCTTTTCTTTCTTTAAATGCCTTACCTCTCAAAATATAAAATAATATTCTGATAAAATAACTTACAACTATCTTTTTTCCTTAATTACCAAAGAAAACTGAATCTCCATCTGACTGAACATTTCATATTACTAGTCAAATCGTAAAATAACTGTGCTATCTCATTTATGTTCCCTAGTAAGTAGTAAGTCTGGGGAAAAAAAAAAAAAAAAAAAAAGTTTTAAAAGTTTGCGACTGGGTGATGTGGAAAAAAAGAGAAAAGGAAATTATTCTAAACACTTTTTTTCCGCATAAGTCTGATGACTGCAATCAACAAATAGCAAATCAGCATTATTAGCAGCTTTGAATAAATTCCCATAGTGGAGATGTCATACAAATGCAGGAAAGGGAGAGGGAGCTGGGATCACATACATGGTGTACATAGGAAAAAAAAAAATAATAAAAAAATCCATACCAAAAGTGAAAACAAAATCAAACACTTCCACTGCTTATGGAAAACCTGTTTATGCAGTGTCTGGAGATTCAAATCTTCTCTCTAGTAACAAATCACATATTAACAATCCAAGAAACACAAATCCAGTGGCATAGTCCAAAACAAAGAAGTACAGAGAAAAAGCAGACAGTGTCCAATAGCAAGATATGGAAAGCTGAGATTACTGTTCTCATTTAAAGAATATACAAATAAACTCCAAAGAAAGGCAGCAATGGTTTTTTTCTGTGTCAATTTATGACATTCATTTAGCATGAAATTTTATACTTTAAGTAGAAAAAGCTACAAAGAAACAGTCAAGTAGACAGCTGTTGTCTACAAAAGAGAATCTGTCCCTACATTTATTGTCGATACAAATAAGTGAAAGTTTCCTTCAGCTCTCCAATTCAGATAGGAAACCATCTTTCTGAGCCTCTAAATGTGAACGACGTCTCTCAAATTCAAGTGAATATGTTTGCTTCAAGCAATAAAGTACACTTAGAGATTTATGGGTTTTCTGCAGAAAAAACGTACATAAGTAAATTTGATGATAAATTGTGCATATGCATTGTAAGCAATGTAAAGCAATATGATAAAGATACATTTACATTATAATAAGTGGAACTCAATTCGGAAACATGATATTCCAGGGAGTGATACGCGGATACTTCTTTCTTAGGAATGCACAAAAGTGCAAACAATGACTATTATTCATAAAAATTATTCATACCGTTGGCAATCAGTCTTTTGAGTGTTTATGGAATAAATTGCTAACTGATGTTCACATATGCTTCCCTAAACTTGCGTCATGGGCAGGTTTTAAGCTGAAGTGCATAAAACATAATTAGGATAGTGAGATCTTGGATGGCTGAACTGCAAAATTACACACCTCCTGCAGGTCTAGCTCAAAATATTGTTCTGTGTCAACTGTGAACATCCTTTATGCAAAAGTCAGCTTGCATGCCAGACATCACTGTTGTGAGCAGCTTGGTTAGTTCAGCATGAAAAGATTACTGCATAATAACTGGAAATAATCTGACAAGATAAAACACAACACACACCTTACTAGTTTTAATTGACCTTCTAGTGTTTTCTATCAATCAGACTATTAAGCTCTTATTTGTCTTGTCCCTTTTGAACCAAAAAACTAAAAGGTCTTTTGTTTTTATGGTCATCTTAAACCTTGAAGTGTGATTTTTTATTTTTTTTTTTAAAAAGGAAAGCTTCAATTAAATATTCAAAATCATCTAATCCAGCCTACAAAGTTGCACAGTTTAACTTCAAGTACATGTAGTCCCTTTTTCTGCAGTTTTGGCTGTTTTAAATGCAGCAAACATATAATCTCTTCCACAGAAAACATGTCCTCATTTAATAATATTTGGGAAACAGCACTCGAGGCTGCCATTCATCAACAGTGACTTAAAACAATGAGAAGGGCAAAATGTTTTAATCAGAACGATAAACAAAAATATTCATCTAAATTTGCTTAAGAATTCTAATCTGAGAAACACAAGCTGATGCCTGATACAGAAATTCTCCTTTTTTTTTTTTTTTTTTGCATCTGAGTAACCTGACCTGATGCTCATAAGGGAAACATAGCTCCTTCATTTCCCCTCACAATTAGGCTTTCCTAGTCTTTTATCTCCTGCTTACCTTGCTAAACCTGACCAGCTTTAACTATGCAATGGGATTAACTTTTTTAGCCGTAAGCCTTCTTGGAGAGCTCAAAGAAAACAAGTGCACAAACAACTGCCTCATGATCATTCTCAAAACAAAGCTTAATATGCATGAGAAAAAAATAAGTTATATAAGCATACTTCATACAACTTCTCAGACACAGTTACAGAATTAACAGAGAAAGTATACTAGAAAGTGGTTTCCAATGCAGCAAGGATTCTGCAGGTGCTTTTCTGAGTAATTCCAAACATCAAAGACTGTGTCATTTATTTACTACTGAGTCAGTTCTAACCCTGGCAAAACTCATTAAACTTCTGATGCCTAAGGCAACTCAGACCAAACTTAAAACACAATATTATTATTTAAAACTTCACTCACCTCCTTGTGAAGATAATTTGCAATCTTGGTCTTGAGATACAAGTGTACTATCAAATTTATTTCAAAGACAAACTCTATGACAACACTGACAGTGCATCTTACGTGAAGAAAAAATATGACTGTGAGAGCTAGGAATGGGAAAGTACATAGCCTACCACACGGGCAGAACACACTGACAGCTGACAAGCCCACAGGCAGTGGTATGTGAGTATAGGAGAAATAGCTTGAAAGTTATTAAGACAGAAGCGAAGGTGAGAGTTTTCAGTTGAGTGTACTTCTAAAGGCTGGAGGAAGAGCTGTACTAATTTGGCTTATTTTCTTTTTTGATGGTCATAAGAGGTTTCTGCCACAAGGGATACAATTTGCCTCCTCTGTCTTTAATCAGTTTCTACCCCAAAAGTATCTCCATGATGGACAGTGGAAGGCTTGACAACAAACACATACTTGTATCCGCTATGTAATTACAGCTTAGAGAAATGAATCCAGCTCCTAGGAGCAGAATTTTTATAGTTTCTTAAATTTCAAAGACATGTGGTTTAGGATAACCCAGATCATTAAATTTCTAAATGTAAATATGAATTCCATTACTAAGCATACAAATCTTGCAAAAATTAATCTCTCTGCTCATAATTTGGCATTGGTGCTTCATAAGAAGCATTTTTCATGTGAGTCAGTATTACCTATATTTGCTCTTGCTTTCAACAGTAATCTTATTTTGAAACGTATTTTTCCTACATGTGCTCCCTTACTCATTCTCTACTGGAGATTTTCTGTTGAAATGCTCATCAGCTAAAAAGCCTACAATTACAGGGTACAGAGAATTTGGAAGAAAGCCTTTTGCTGTGCTTCACTGAGGTAAAAATTTGTATGTTTAGATGAATAGCTGTACTACCCCATCAGACCAACTCTAGTTGCTCCAGTCTATTTCTTCCCATGTGAGCTGCTCTTTGCATGGACTACACATGTCAACAATCACTGTAATATCCTTCTTTAATTAAATCATCACAGTGCCACTGAGAGATGCCCAACTCAGTGAACCAGGGGGCTTTTTCAGCTAGTCAAGCTGCATCACAGAAAAGTAAAGCGCACAAAATGCAGCAACTACAACTCCCAGGAGGCTGCACCAGCAAGCACAGATACAGACAAAATGATCGTCAGATAAAATATTTTTGTGTTGTCCACCAAACTAAAGCAAATTACCTCAGATCAGGAGTGTTGACAACTGTTTTTGTAAATCATATAGAAAGGAAATATTATGACATCTGTATACCCAATATTAGCATTTTTCCTTTCACAAAGTATTGGATTATTTCAACTCTTTCTTCAACTAAGGATGAAATCAAAGTTTAAACCCTTCATAAGCCCATAACATTACATTTGTTCAAAGTACAAAACTGAAAGTTGGCTTCAAATATCTAAGACTAACCACACTAGTAATGACAGACATGCATAGGAGTAGGGAGCTGTCCTAAGAATCTCCAATTTGAGAATAATTTATTCAATGAAAATAATCTGACTTTTTAGATTGCTTCTATCCTCTTCAAAACCTCTACTCCTGCAAAAATTATTTGACACCAAATGAGAATCATAGAATCACAGAATTGCTCAGGTTAGAAAAGACCTTAAAGATCATCAAAGCCAACCGCAACCTAGTCATACTATGATAACTCTAACAACC